ATTTTTACTTTTATGATACATTTGATGTACTTGGCTTCAGGCTATGTGATCCACACTACGTATTTACTTTAGGCTTACTATACCAACACTCACTACACTTATAAGGTTTCACGGCCACTCTGTACCCTCATCACTAAAATCGTAATGGGCAGACAGTAATCGAAGTATTCTATTCATTTGCATTTTGGCTTTTATATAGGTTAGATACTTTGTTGGAACAGTGCTGGTTCTTTCTCTACAGTTAAACTTATCCTTATATAAAGAAAGTAGTATCCGAGTAAATAGTGAAAATACGAAGATATTGATAAAAAATGGGATATTACAGTTTGTTCTTCTCGTCCTTGTTTAAACAAGTTAGTGTCCGAGTAAATAATGAAAATGCTAAAAAATTATAAAAGTGGGACTTGTACTGGTTTTTTTTCTTGTCCTTACTTAAAGAAAGTAGTAACTGAGTAAACAGGGAAAATACTAAGAATCTGATAAAAAGTGGGACTTGCACTGGTTGTTCTCCTTCGATGGAATCAAATGAACAACGTATTCTCGTATAGAATTTTATGTCAACTCTCATTTTATAATATGATAATGTTACGAAGCTGTGTCAAACCACATTACATTGCATGGCAATGTCATGATGTTGTGTTAAACCTCATTACATGACTAGATAATGCCGTGATGTTGTGTTAAGCCTCATTACTTGACATGATATTTTTGTGAAGTTGTTATATATGTTTGTAAATGTGCGTTGTGCAGTAGATATTTACAACATATATTAATATTCCTTCCCTATATCCCATCAAAGATGTATCTGCCTTAAGTGCATATAAAATGTACCCAGAAAAGTCTCCAAATTTTCTAGTGGTTGCATTATATCTTTTGTAGATCATAAGACAAATCACGTGACAATTATACATTTTCAGCAGGATAAAGTGCTCGCAGAAGTTTAAGGATAAATCCTCAGATTTCTCCAACATTCACAGCTTTACTTCTGCAACTTTATATATATATATTGCTGTTTAGCCATAATGATGTTCAAGAGATTTCCTTCCGTATCATCCCCACCCAAAAAAAAATCAAAATAGTGGATGTGGAGAAGCCCCAAGATTTATACTCCAAATAAGTTTTGCATACTGGTTAAATGTAAAGTATACGTTGCATGTAAATATATCATGAGAAATTAGGTACCTAACTGGGAACAGTAAGCCTAAAAACATCTCGTAAGTGATTTATGAGTACTACAACATGACGAATAAATATGTTGTCTCAAAACAACTGATTTTACTATAAAATAAAAAAAATGTTTTAGTGGTTTTGAAAATAGTATAACAAACGTAACATTATAACAAAATTACCGACCAAAAAGCTGCACAGAAGGTAAACACTGATGCCACAGTGAAGGTGTTAAACCTCATCATATGTCACAATAATGTGGTTTTTAACTTCACTGGCATTAATTTTGTAAAGTTATTTCAAACCCCATCATGTGACACTATAATGTCGCGAAGAAATGTAAAAACATTTTACTAGTCAACTTTGTATATTAGATATACTTGCGCAGGATCCTCAAAAGTGTTTTGTTTCAACACTAAATAAACCAAAATTAAGAGTAACAAATTTTTTTCTTGCTTTTGAAGTTCAATGTCATGCTGTTTTGTAGCCTACAGAATGTATAATTATTCTCGTAATTCGTGGCAAACGCACGTTTAACTGACGTCACGACAGTACAAAATGCAATGTCAAGCGTCCCTTATGCGACGCCATTTTATTGTCTACTGACTGACTGACAGACAACACACTACTGTATAGTGCTGCGACTGGTTAAAGCAGGTGACTCCGCCAGGCGGCTTTTCGGTCCCCTTTCGGGGAAATAACTTTTATGTTTCAAGCTATGTAAAATACGAGGTAATTATTTTGTACGTTGTTCTCTCTCTTTCTTTTTTAACCTTACAGATGCATGCAGCCATGCCATAGTTTACTTCCAATGTAGAGACAACTATTTCTAATACAAAATGGAACTGGTGTGTACGAATACATAACCTTCACTTTATGTTCGACCTGACAAATGATGCTTGCGTTTGCTGTCTAATTTTTTATTGAGAGATATGCTTTTGCATTCACACTTTACTGTTTGAAAGTTTATTGTAAACGTAGATTAGATATCAGTCATATGAAAATATTGAAGCAGAAACAAGCAAGCTTTATGTAACTCACAATGTCTGAAGATCTTTAGATATCGAACACCTGTTAATACATTCCATCTAACTGTCAGTATCAAACATACACCCTGAATATGTTGCTCTAGACTAACCAAAACAAAGCAGTCCAACAAGAATTTGGTGTACTTAGAATGTGTGACTTCATATTTTAACTTTATTCTTTCATAAAATAAATATTTACTTAACACGAGTATTTAGTTAAATAAGGCATTTATTAGTAATTGTCATTCAAACATAGTATAATTTTCTAATAGAGCTGATAAAATTTCACATAACCTAATAATTAATCACAAAAGTAATGCTGATTATGGAAGCAAGAAATACCAAAGTTAAAACCTAGTTAAATATTTTCATAATGTATGCTTGACACAAAACTGAAAACCACAATGGGTCATAATTTTATTTGTATTTTGTGATAAAGGTGTTAAATTGATTTTTCTAAGTAGTCGGTATTTTAGTCCTCAGTATAGTAACATTATACATGTATATCTAATCTTTAAAAAAACTAAATTTAATTACACTTGAAATAAATAAGTATATTAAGAGTGGTAAGAAAGAGTATAATTTTATATAATAAGGGCATTTAGAGGCAAGTGTTTTTAATTTACAGAACTTCGACATAAAAAATACCTTAAAAACCACCGTTTTCAACTTTCAGTTCCTTTAAGTTCGTAAATTTGCTAATAACGAGCAAAGTCAACTCTATAGGTGTCTATGATAAATGTGTTTCGTATTTCTAGTTGACTGTAATTTGCATGTGTATTGTTTATTTTGTACTTCCTCCTAAAACCAGACATTGTAGAATTGTTGTGACAATTTCAAGCGTGATGTCCAAGTTCTTATTAGTAGCCGAAGTTATAACTCGTGATTTCGAATGAACCTGTTTCCTTCGGAATTTTTCCCCGTGTAACGATGCCTGAGAACACCATACGCACCTGTAAAAAAACAAAGTTGAAAATAATTCCGTATAACGTGGCTCCTAAAGATCTAGAAGTTTCATTTTAAATGAAAAAGATTACTAAAAGTGCATCTTCATTAAGTACAGCAGATACAGCGAGTCAGAGTTTCCATTTTATATTGAACACTATATATGGAGTTTCTAAAGATTCAAAGGAAACGTTGCAGAAGCCGTAAATCTTTACGTGGCATCGTTTCGTTCAATAACTTAACACTGCTTCGTTTGAATTTCTGTAACACCGGAAAAAAAAAAGTTATTTCTTATTAATATCAAACATCAATTTATAAATTCCACTCCAATTTCATCACTCTGTTTTAGGTATTATCACATTCAGAAAAAACTATAATACGAAGAAACTGGTTCTTCTACAGCTCCTCGTCACCATTATTTTGTTAATTTTTTTCCGAAAAAAAATCACTATTTCCCTACGAAGACATCAACTCATCATCCATAAGTACTTTGTAGCTTGTGTCAAAATACAACCATAAGTTCTTCGAACTGTCACTGAGCTATTTATAATAGAAGAATATCTTGCAACTTATACTCGATTATACTCAAGAATAATGTGTATTTTCAAGTAAATTGATTTTTTTTCGTTATGTATTCTTAATGACGATACCATTCAATTTCGTATTTCTATTAATCATGTGAAACTATAAAGTTTGTTTGTTTTTGAATTTCATCCAAAGCTACACGAGGGCTATCTGCGCTAGCCGTCCCTAATCTAGCAGTGTAAGACTAGAGGGAAGGCAGCAAGTCATCACCACCCACCGCCAACTCTTGGGCTACTCTTTTACCAGAAACTATAAAGAGAAAGAATGTTATTTACAGAAACAAAATGATTGAAGTTGAAAGAGCTACTGTCAGTCGTACTCTCGATATCAGAATAAATACAATACGAAGAATAGTAAACATAGTTCCCTGAAGGTTTCTTTCCGATAAATTTTCTCTTACATCTTCAGAGTTTTTTGCTAGTCAATATTTGTTGTTGTTGTTATTCACATAATTAAAGTATAATATCCACTTTCACAGAAGTATGCTCTTACGTTATTTAAAAGCCTCTATCTCTAACAGTCCACCAGTGGCATTCAATCAAACTGGAAATAATATTACATACATATTTACGTTTGAAATGTTAATACTTGAGGAGGGATGACGGAGGATGGGGGAATAGAGCTAGGCTTATCCTGTTTGCGAGAACAAGTTCTCATACGTGTATAAGATAATCTAAATATTTTCATAAGGTTCTATTTATCCTTGCCAGTGAAGGAAAAACATTGTTCATAGGGAAGCCCTGATTTAAAGCAGGTTCGTAGTTTATTTTCAAAAATCAAACCTAAGGTTGTTTGTTTATTTTTTTCATAAATTCACAAAATAATTTTTTTTACGAATCGAAATAAGAAACGGGGAAACAGAGAGAGTAGTTTGTTTGTTTGTTTTCGAAAACCCTGGCAACGCCGGGTAATGCAACTAGTTTCTAGTAAAAACTATAAGTAGTTTTTTTCGATACACCGCTCTTGTTTAATTCGTCGGATTCCTTCAACATTCTGAGATTCTAATCTCCAGAAATAAATATCACCTTAATAAGTTAAGGCCTTCTGGACTTCAAATGGGAGGAAAGTCATTGTACGAAATGGTGATTTATTATAAGGATCCGTTTTTTTCGTAGTTTGGACTTTATAGATTAATTACATAAGTGAAGTGTGATATATATATTATTTCAGCCATAAAATATGTGTAAAAATCAAAATTATTTACCTATTTCTTATACATGTTTTAATATAAATAAATATTATAACGTATATTTATGTGTATGTGTGTGTATTTATATACATATTTGCGAAACAAACACACGTTGTAGTGAAGTTTCTAAATTTACAAAAGCCTAAAGATATAAGACTCCATTTTCATAAAATATTGACACCAATCTAAAATACAGAATGAATTAAACTGCTAAAGTTACATGGATGGATAAGACTAAGGTGCTTAGTATGACTGCGGAATCAGAATTAAACTGTTATAAGTTATATGTATGGGTAAATGAGTTTCAAAACCAGCTGAACCAAGGGTTCTCAAACTTTCTCAGTACATTCGGCATCGTAATTGAAGCCCCTACCCCAACTGAATTAATCTAAAGATTACTGAGCATTTTAACAGTATTGTTTATTTTGTGCATTTACTGCCTCCCCCCCCCCCGACACTTTCCTTCGGTCCACAGTTCGAGAACCCTCTGAACTAGACTATGAAATGAAGAAATACAACTAAAAACCGTAAGTAGATTATATTAAATTTTTTAGCTACAAATCACTAAAAAAGATAACACTGTTAAACTTTGTATGTTAAATTATAATTAATTGTTTAGCTGGACTACAAAATGAAATAGCAGTGTTAAAATAATATACGACAGGGTTATCCACAATTGTTCGGCAAAACTATGAAAGAAGAGAACAATGTTAAAAGTTATATGAAACGTTTGTGTTCAAATGTTTATCCAGAAAGTGTCGCATATTTTACATTGAAGTCTTTGTTATAAATTAAGAAACTTTATACTATGGCAAGCTTATTTGTAGGTTATAAATAATGTGGGCATAAGCAAGTAGCACGCATTTAATCGCAAGAGTCATGAATATACAACTAGCGTAGCTTGGTATACGCATGTACGCCAGTGGATAACATTGAAAAGTCAAAAATATGAATTTTCTTTGATATGAAATCTTAATCTGACAGGGTTTTTTTCGAACAAAATTTAAACAAAAATACCAGTGTTCAAAATATAAATGTTTACCATACTTTATGTCGCCCGTATGGTCGATTTTTTTATAAGTTATATACACATAAAAGGTTATCAGAATGCGTTATTTCAAGCTTAAATTTCAAAACTTTCTTTAAAGAGGCCATACGGCTCTCCACAAGAGGGAGAGGGAGACAGCCCCATTCTATACCTTCTCATCGTGCGTAACTCAAACTTACGCCTAGCTACGCCCCTGAGTAGAATTTCCTAATGCAGCATGAATCTTAAGTTATGTGAGTATATTATGGATGTTATTATACTGTATCATGAACGATACTGATGCGATATTGGTGTAATATGATGTTGGTTGTTACGTACAATAGTACAACTGATGTAAGTGCAATGTTAGTATCATGTAATGTAGCATGGGTATTATACTTGTGTAACGCATCTTGTGGGCGTAAAGTCGATATTACGCAAAGTAAAGCAAGCGATTTGGATATTATTAGTGTTACAGTCTAAGTAATACTGGTTTCACGTTAGTGCTACATAACGTAACGCATCTTGTGTGGGCGTAATGTCAATAGTCAATATTACGCCAAGTAAAACAAGCAATTTGGATATTATTAGTGTCACAGTCCAAAAAATGCAGGTTTGATGTTAGTGCTACATAACGTAACGCATCTTGTGTGGGTGTAATATCAATATTACGCCAAGTAAAACAAGCGATTTGGATAATATTAGTGTCACAGTCCAAAAAATGCAGGTTTGATGTTAGTGCTACGCACTGCAGTACAAATGATGTGGACATTGTTTTCTACTGTAAGAGTACAAAGGTTATGAATTTAAATATAATATTTCAGTGTATGTTAAGTCATACGTTTACAGATACGTGTTGTAACGCACATTATAAAGTTATACATTTAGAGACTGATCTTGTTACGGACGTGGTTATGGTGATCACCCCAATGGTATATGCTCGTTGTGTGCAAACTATGGGGATCGCCCCCAAAGGAGGAAGCTGAGAATCTGTAGGGGAGGGGTGGCAATAAAACAGAAAACGTTTGCTGGCCACTGGTTTATACTATACGTAATAAATATTCAACAACATATATATTATGGTGTTTTATATCGAATTGTTCTTTACCTCGGTGCGATCCTTCAACGGAAGGAAACTGTGGTAGGGGAGATAGATCTCCATCTGTGACGTCTTTTGTGGCCTCGTCTACAAAGGGCTGAAGAAAAAAATAAATTAAGATATATTAGGCCATCTTAGCTTTACCTTTAACTTACGAGTACTTACTGTTCTCAACTATAAAGTTTCTATAAAATAACAAAAGACACGAAGTATGTTCAAAACTGCGCAACAAAGTCTGAATTGGTACAAACGAACTTCATTTTGATGCAAGTTGTTACAATTTGGCTACGAACTTCATTTTAATGCAGGTTGTTACAATTTGTTCGTAACCAAATTGTAACAACCTGCATTACAATGAAGTTCGTAACCAAATTGTAACAATCTGCATTATAATGAAGTTCGTAGCCTTCATTGTAATGCAGGTTGTTACAATTTGGTTACGAACTTCATTGTAATGCAGATTGTTACAATTTGGTTACGAACTTCATTGTAATGCAGGTTGTTACAATTTGGTTACGAACTTCATTGTAATTCAGATTGTTACAATTTGGTGGCTTCTTCTAACCACGATTACAATTTTTTATCCCGTTCAAAATGGAAATATATAAATTAGACAATTATTGACATTTATCAAAAAATAGGTTTGAACAGAAACTGTAGATAGGAACTTGTTATTAGTAATTTTTATCGTTAAGATTCTGCAGAATATTTTTAAATCATAATGTGGTTAATACATTTTCAGATCTATTACTTTTAAGCGTGGTTTACATAATGATGGCTTAGCTTTAAATTCAGATATCTCAACATTCCAAGAACCTAAACAATTCCCTGTTATTTATGTATTCATTCTCTACTAACCTATTCAGTGACATGCATTTTTTTATTACACACCTTGCTCTCAATAGGCCTAACGACTCTCATGAACGCACCAATTCGCTTGGCCTCTGCTCTTTCCCGCGCTGTCACAGGGGTGGAGTCCAGAAAGTTCAGCATGGGAAGTTTGTGTATGACGTAATACCTGTTTTTCGAAACAAAACCACCATGTCAATTGAACTACTTAGCCGTTAATATTGTACTGAACTCCTACTGTCTGATTCCTCAAGCGAGGTATAATATATTAACAAAACAATAGAGTTTTTGTATGGGACAGAGTTCTAGTTCTCAATGCTCTTGTGACAACTTAAATGAAGGGAGAATATGTCGTATAGGTTACGAAAGAAAAAGCGTTTTGTCACTCGAGTAAAACATGTGGTATCTGTTTCATGAGCTGAACCACAAGAATTCTCAAATTTCGTGCCGTTAACCCGATGCAAGTTTTATTTTTTCGACATTAGACCAAAACACCGTTTTTCGTTTACGGTATTGACCTGTATAAAAAACTCTTTCATGATAGGTTTTCACTAGTTAAAAAAATATATATATT